ACCACTCTGTTTTGTCTCTCAACACTATGTTTCTTTACTTGTGTCCTATCATTACACAAGCATACACACACGCTCTTGACTCTCAACGTTTTGTTCTTGTAGAGAGAAGTGAGTAATCTTTAATTGCCTACATTGTTCTTTCTTTCCAACTCTTTTCTTTATTAGAATTGGATACCTTTGCTTACAACAACACAACACATACTTATATTAGTTTTACTCTAACTACTACACACATGCTTGCTTTCCACTCTAGGCTCAACAACTCCCACTTGCACCTTACTTCTAGACATGTAGCTCACAAGCAAACTTGCTTTTACCACTAACAACTATTACCAACTCCTAACTTCTCCAACTTAACTTACCAACTAACTAGCTACTCTTATGCCTCTTGTTTTGTAACTTCTAGTTACACCAAAGTCTTCTTGTTCTTCTTCCTTTCTTGCTCTTCACGCTTCTTCGTGACTCCTTGTTCACTTCTTCTTCTTGTGTTGTAAGCTTCCTTGCTTTCACTTCTTCTTTCCTTGGAGTATTTAATCAAGGTTCAATCTCAACAAAAAGTTTTCAGAATTCTAAATTTAACACCAACCTGCAGCTACGACCACGACTGTAACTACGACTATGGGGAGCGAGATTTAACTGTTGACTTGGAGTAGCTTCCACCATGCATGGATCATTAAAATCCAAAGGGATATCAGAAGAAGTTTAAATGAACGGTTTAAAAACAAGGATTGGCCTTCTTTGGACAAGTTAAGCTCAAGATGAAGCAGAAGAGTTCCACTTCGCACAAACACATATATATTGTACACTCGGCGGCGACCTTGTTTATAGATTATTAGCTCGATTATCTTCTTATGATCATTTCATTCGTTTTCAATATGTCTCATTCAATTATGTTATGTTACTTATTTTCTAAAGTCTACACAATCACTTTTAGCTTCCACTATACACTGAATACAAATAATTTATATATTTCTTTTTTTGGCTAAATAAAGAGATATTTTAAGAAAGAGAAAAAGTGTGGACGAGCAACAATCTGATAGTCAACAAAAAGAGATAACGGATGAAACGATATAATTGCTTCTTGACTTACTTATCAATTTACTGGTCTTTACTGATCTTATCTCTTCTCCTAATCTGAAAGCTTTGTGATCCGATCCTCTTCTTCGTGCTGTTACTCATGGCTTCATCATCTTCTTTATCTCGCAGTTGGTTGTATAACGTCTTCCTGAGCTTCAGTGGACAAGACGTTCGCAAAGGCTTTCTTAGCCACGTTCGGAAAGAGCTCGAAAGAAAGGGAATCACTTCTTTCGTTGATGAAAAAATCAAGAGAGGCGAATCTATTGGTGACGTGCTTGTTGGAGCAATCAAACAATCCAGGGTTGCCGTTGTCTTGCTCTCCCCAAACTACGCTTCTTCGAGCTGGTGTCTGGACGAGTTAGTGGAGATCATGAAGTGCAGGAAAGACTATCAACAGACAGTGATGACCATTTTCTACGAAGTGAATCCATCAGATGTTAGGAAGCAGATCGGAGATTTCGGGAAAGCCTTCGATGCAACCTGTTTGGAAAAAACAGAACAGGTGAAGCAGGCATGGAGGCAAGCTTTACATGATGTCGCGGGTATAGCTGGATACCACACTAGCAATTGGTTCGTTCGTTCACTTTTACTTCCGCTTGCTTGCTTTATTATAGCTACTTTTGACGATAACTGATTATCGTCATGTTTTTGTTAGTGACAATGAAGCTGAAATGATCAACAAAGTTGCCTCAGATGTTTCGGTTCTGTTGTGTTTTACACCATCAGAAGACTTTGATGACTTTGTTGGCATAGAAGCTCAAATCATGGAAATAAAACTGAAGTTGATCCTACAATCAGAACCAGTTAAGGTGATTGGGATTTTGGGTCCTGCCGGGATTGGTAAGACGACCATTGCCACAGTTTTATACAACCAACTCTCTTCTGATTTTCCATTCTGCGCGTTTTTGGAGAATATAAGAGGAACTTATGAGAGGCCTTGTGGTAACGACTATCAGGTCAAGTTGCGTTTTCAGGAAAAGTTGTTGTCTCATCTTTTTAACCAAAAGGAAATTGTGGTTGGTCATTTAAGGGTGGCTTCAGAAAGGCTGAGTGACAAAGAAGTATTGGTTGTTCTTGATGAAGTGGATAGCTGGTGGCAACTAGAGGCAACGGCAAACCAGCCTAGATGTTTTGGTCCCGGAAGTATGATTATCATTACAACCGAAGACAGAAAACTTCTCAAGGCACTTGGACTCCAGACCAATCATATCTACCAGGTGAAATTTCCAACTACAACTGAATCTTTTCAGATCTTCTGCCAATATGCTTTTGGTAAAAAGTCTCCAGATAATGGTTTTGAAAGGCTTGCTTGGGAAGTTACGGGACTTTGTGGTAATCTTCCTCTAGGCCTGAGAGTCATGGGATCCTATCTACGAGGAATGTCCATGGACTACTGGATAGACGCACTACCAAGGCTCAAGTCTAGCCTGGACACAGAAATTGAATCAATTCTGAGATTTAGCTACAACAGCTTAAATGATAAAGATAAAGCTCTTTTCCTTCATATTGCATGTTTCTTTGTCTATTATCGGGAAAAATACGTTAAGAGTTATCTTGAAAAAAGTGGTTTGGACGTCAACCATGGGCTTCAAGTCTTAGCTCATAAATCACTTATATTTATAGAAGAAGACGGATGCATACAAATGCATAGTTTACTGATACAAATGGGTACAGAAATTGTCAAGAAACAGTCTTTAGAGGAGCCTGGAGATCGACAGTTCTTGATTGATACCGAGGAGATCTCTGATGTACTTGAAAAAGATTCTGTAAGTATTTTTAACATTTGGAGTCTTCTGTTTCCTTGGTTTGTAGAATGAGATTAATTAGTTTTTTTTTTTTTTGAATAATCTCTTCTAGGGTACTAGAAAGGTTCTAGGGATAAATTTGGTTACTTCAAAGGGAGAGGAAATTCAAATAAGCAAAAGCGCTTTCCAAAGGATGGATAATCTCCAATTTCTATATGTCAGCTCTAATACCTTATGCATACCCGAAGGCCTCAACTGTCTTCCGGACAAACTCACACTTATAAATTGGAACGGTAGTCCATTGAGATTATGGCCTTCCAAGTTCTCTGGCAAGTTTCTTGTAGAAATACACATGCCACATAGCAAATTTGAGAAGCTCTGGGACGGAATCAAAGTAAAAATAATCAATCACTTTTTGGTATTGTGTTGCGTGTAACGCAAGATTAGTCATTTTTCTATAACTTATCTTTTTTTTCCTTTTTGTATAGCCTCTCCATTCCCTCAAGCTGATGGATTTAAGCCACTCCTATTATCTGAAAAAGATTCCAGATCTCTCAAAAGCATCGAGTCTCGAGGAATTAGATCTCAGTTACTGCAACAGTTTGTTAGAGATCACAAGCTCTATTGGCAATGCCACTAAGCTTACATCCTTCAACCTTAGGGGTTGTTCTCTTTTGAAGGAGCTTCCCTCTTCTATCGGTAGCTTTATCAATCTCGAGGAATTAGAACTGAGAGATAGTGGGATAGAGAAAATACCATCATGGTATTGGCGTTCTTGTTCTCGATTGGATATTACAGGGTGGAGAAACCTCAAAGAGTTCCCAGATGTTCCTGACAGCACTGAAGAGTTGGTGTTGTCTTGTACAGGGATAGAGGAGGTTCCTCCATTGATTGGGAATCTATTTCGTCTGCGTAAACTAATTATGTATGGATGCGCCAAGCTGAAAACTATATCTCCAAACATTTCTAAGCTGGAGAATCTTGAGTTTCTTGCTCTGAGTCACGGTGGTCCCGTTCAGTGTGATTCTCAATTTTTAAAAATATTGGACTCATTTCAAGCAGTTGTTAGCTGGGACGGTGACTGTAAGCGCAGTTGGGAATTACGATCAGACTTGAACGTTCACTACATTTTGCCGACATGTCTACCGGAGAAGGCTTTTACATCTCCAATATCATTATGCTTACGCGGTAAATGTTTGAAGACTATCCCAGATTGCATCAGAATTCTCTCGCGACTAACTAAGCTTGACATCAGAGCATGCAGAAATCTCGTAGCACTTCCACGGCTTCCAGTTTCCCTTCTATTTATATATGCAAGAGATTGTGTATCCTTGAAGAGAATAGACTCTTCTTTCCAAAACCCAAATATTTCCCTGAACTTTGCTCTCTGCTACAACCTGAATCAAGAAGCTAGAAAGCTCATCGAGACATCAGCTTGCAAATATGCTTTCTTGCCGGGTGAAGAAGTGCCTGCACACTTCACTCACCAATCTACTTCAGGTTCCCTAACGATCAATTTGACTCCAACACCTCTTCCTTCATCCTTCAGATTCAAAGCTTGCATCTTGCTGTCAGAAGCAAAAGTGTTTAAGCATTCATTGATGGAGTTATCTTTTTGCGTCAGGAGTAAACAGAATGGCTTCATAGTCGGACGCGGATTAACCCAGCTAGATATTCCATATATAAATGTATATACAGAGCATCTGTATATATTTGAGGATTCTTTCTCTCTAAACCAGGATTATCCTGAAGCCAAAGTAGCCACTTTCAGCGAACTTACTTTTGTGTTCAGATTCCGTGATAAAGGCATGAAGGTCAAAGGCTGCGGTGTACGACTTTTGGATGTACCTCATTGTATTATTGACGGAAATGAAGATGTTGATGATGATGGTGGTGAGGAAGATGAAAGTGCTGATGATGGTGAAGGTCTAAGACAAATGTTTTGTTTCAGTTATTGAAAGAAGAAAGGAAAATCAGATAAGAAGAGAGTGGTGATGATGGTGATTGGTGAAGCTGTGTCTTGGATATGGAAGCTTGCTGAAAGGAGGAAAGTGGCTTATTCCTCTTCAGGCTGTGGTGGTGAAGAAGATGAGAGTGGTGATGATGGTGAAGCTGCTGAGGATGAAAACGGTGAAGGTGGTGATGGTGATAATGATGACGTTGACTGAACTTAGTCATATGGCCAGGTTTGATTTATTCCCTTCTGTTGCTAATCTTAAGGATTCTTGGTCGAGATTGCTTATCTTTTATTAACAAGTATATAACTTTCGGATCTCTATATTTAATTGCTACGAGTGCTATTTGTTTATGTGTACATGCATCTTCTTTAAACAAAGTTTCAGTATCATCGAAAACAGAGTTATGTTTGATATCGTCAAAACACTCAATGATTGTGTATGCTTTGTATGCGTATTAACATAGGAGTAGATAGTTACAGCTGTACGGTTCTGTATACTTCTTTATACAGATGTGTGCATTTCATTTTTCTTTCATTAATCGAGGTACTTAGATTGTAGACGTAGATTTTTTGGTGTTTGTGTCTGATTATTTGCTCTTTTTGTTCTTTTTCACTCTCGTTTTTTCAGACCTATGAAAAGAGATATATCGGGCAGTGGTTTATGTATAAACGTACGTGTTTATACAAAACCAAATAAGTCCTCTCTCACCGTTTTGATGACACTGAACTGTCTGATCTATGATACAAAACCATCTGATGAACTAGCCATTGGAATGTTCAGGTCATGACATAGATGCTTTACTTCAGCGGGGTTCCTCTCCCTCCTCACTTCAAGATCAGACCGTTTGTACAGATGAGCTCGCTGTCAGACTACGACATTTACCAATGTCTGGGCCTTCTTTGTCGCTGAGATCCATGATTCGATCACCATGGTTGCTTAGTCCGCTCTCTGCTTTGGCCCAGGCAGTTGACTCAAACCCGAGCCTTCAAAATAATATCATCACCAGTGCATTGCTCTACATCTCAAGTGCTGAGGAGAATAAAACAGTAGTTTCTCAAAACCCTCTTGTCATCCCACTGCGTATAAAGTCTTTGAAGCAGTGTACAGCTAAGACACGAAGAAAATCTGCAGCAACTTTACTGTCACTTGTAATACTTCTAAGCACTTTCATGTATGTTAGTCCAAATTATCAAATACTAGATTAAGTACAAACAAAAGTTTTAGTCATCTAAGAGTTGTGTTTCGAAATGGTTGTACGCGATTAAAGCCAGAACGGTCCCTGACACAAGCTAATTAAGCATCAGGTCAGGCCTGATAAAAATCACGGACCGATCTATATTATAATAGTTCGCTTCTAAAGCTCCTAAAACTATCCACGTCAGCAAGTTTGTGGGTCCTGCATGTTTAAATTTTAAAAGCTTATAGTTTTTCTAAAATGACTATGAACAATGAATACACTTTAACAAAGTGGTATAAGACACCTAATTAAGTCTGCAAGTGTGTGGGTTCAAAATGCACATCTGTTATGTATTTTAGTTTTTTTGTTTAGATTATTATCATATGGGTTTTTTAGTTTTAATGTTTTTATGTTTTTTTTCCTCTAGACTTATTGTTTAAAGCCCAAAATAGTGGGAAAATCCAAAAGTTTGACGAATTCAAACCCAAAAACAATGAAAAATGGATAAAAAATTGAACAGTAAAAAAAATAAAAATAAAACGAGTCCCACGTGGCACTATCATGTCCTAATATATATTCTCTGTTAGAACATATTTCCTAATATATATTTTCACTTCTAAAGCTCCTAAAACTATCCACGTCAGCAAGTTTGTGGGTCCTGCATGTTTAAATTTTAAAAGCTTATAGTTTTTCTAAAATGACTATTAACAATGAATACACTTTACCAAAGTGGTATGAGGCACCTAATTAAGTCTGCAAGTGTGTGGGTTCAAACCGCACAGCTGTTATGTATTTTAGTTTTTTCGTTTGGATTATTATCATATGGGCTTTTTAGTTTTAATGTTTTTATGTTTTTTTCCTCTGGACTTATTGTTTAAAGCCCAAAATAGTGGGAAAATCCAAAAGTTTGACGAATTCAAACCCAAAACACTGAAAAATGGATAAAAAATTGAACAGTAAAAAAAAATAAAAATAAAACGAGTCCCACGCGACACTATCATGTCCTAATATATATTTTCTGTTAGAACATATTTCCTAATATATATTTTTAAAAAAATATGTATGTGAAATAAAATAAAAAAGTATTTTTGTTATTTATAAAATAACTATGTAATTTCTCTTCAATTTTTAATAGTTACTATAGTTTCATTTTTATCAGACTCCGACGAATGGATTTCGACAATCGATGACGCCGTAAAGAAAAATGCCACATTATTCATGAACAAAATCTTAACTTACAAAAAAACATATCCAAACCTATCTATTGAAACCCAAACAACAAATATTAGATTAAACTAAAGTTATTTTCAAATTGATAAGTCGTTTAGTACAAATAGAAATACTATAAATAAATAATTATATCAAGTTTTGACATCCGATATAAAAACTATTTCCAACATAAAAAAACAAGTTAGACACCTGTTTTTATACACTAAAAACTATATTATAATTAGTTATTTCTATAAACCTTACTTCGCATATAAATAACATTTAAGACATTATATATATAATATTTTCACTTTACATTCTTGCTACATTCTTTCTATTTCATCATTATTTGGTATTATTAGAATAACCCACTAAACCAACAAAACAAAAAAACACAGATTCCATCCCCGCGCTTGCGCTGTGGTTATGCAGCTAGTTTTGATAGAAATTTTCCCTAGTTATAAATGGTGTTGGGTTTGATTCAAGGAAGATTTAAAATTTTCTTTTATTTTTATTTTATTTTTAAAGATGATTAGCCAAGAAAATATATTTGTTTATTGACCTAGAATCTTTTATATATTAGAGGAGAAAAACATTATAATAAAATATGTTCACACGATAATGAACACGTAGCATCCATATATAGAGAGTTTCTCAGCCAAATTCTATATAAATGTATCTATACTTGATAATTTTCATTTTTTCAATATTAAACTCACATGCATGGTTTCAATAAAGCTCACTTTATCCGGACTTTTCGATTCGAATAAAAATGGATACAAATTGAAAGCCCAGTTATATCTTATCTATATATATATAAAGTAAACTTGATTCCCTCCTGTGAATGTCAGCTCACTAGATAAGTTTCTAAAATTATGACACGTCAGCTTATTTTTTTCGTTTGCATTTGGATATTGTTTACACAGTATCGAGCCAGATTCTAATTTTTGGGCCCATTACAATTTCCAAACCGAAACTTTCTTTGGGCTGAGGTCAACACATCGACGTTCTACCACAGGCTTTGGAGATTCAGAAAAAAAGCAATCAAACTTGCGAGATTGGAAGTGAGAATCAATGTGCAGGCTCTCAAGAAATTACTTGAAGAGAATAAGAAACTGAGTGGTGGGTGCGAGGGTTTAGTGAAGCAGAGTAAAGAGAATGCTTTCCTTATATCATCAAGACCACGGGGCGTTGATGGATTTCAGGAACGAATTGGACGAGAGGGCGAGAGAAGCGGAATCTAGGGTTCAAGAGTTAGAGTGACAAGTGAGAAACATGTCTCATGTAATGAAGAAGCGTCAAGTGGAATCTGACAAGAGATTCACATTGTTACAAGAAGTTTTGGTTGATTGTTTTGGCAACGTTCGTTAGTAAAGACAAGATTAAGTTTGGGCGTGTGTTTTTAGAGGCGGGCATTCAAGCCCAGTCATTGTTGAGCAGATGGGATGAGTTGAAGCCATCAACGCAAACGGCTCTTTTTATATTTCGATGGTGAATAAGACTAAGAAGGAGAAATAATTCCTTATCTTGAAACTTGCTCAATCAGAAGAAGAAGTAGAATTTGTGTGTGAGCAAAAGAGGACGCAATGAAGAGAACTGCAAGTTGTTTAAGCAATGTAATAGCGTCTCTTTATAATATTTTGCAGAGAAAAGCAAGTCTAAGAGAAAGAGTGCTAAGTTGATGAGCAACAGCCCATGATCTATCACTGATGTAAAAGGTAGTGATGGTCGATTTTGCAGTAATTTATTTGAACCGGATTGATAACTTTTGAGTTCTGCGAAAATTAAGATATTGTGTAGAGAAAACACGAGTGGAATGTTTTGAGGGACAATTGTCGAAACAACATGTTCGCATAGTCAAATTTTCATCTTATATTGCATTTTAACTTCATAGCTTTGATATAAATTTTAGAATTTTGCAAATTCTTCAAGGAGTTTCCAATAAACTGAAATTTCCTAGTTTAAAGCTTTCCATTGTTACCACCAAGCAAGTGCTGTAATGATTTAAAACTGTATGGACATACATAGTGTATGTCACTATTTGTAACTGAAGTTTGTTAGTATGAGTGGAGAAACTGCGGAGCCACTATACAAAACGTTGCAAATAGTGAGTCTATTAATTAAAAAAATGAAGACTATATGGAAACTCTGAACCACTCAAATTATAAATATCCGACTAAAATATTAATCATTTCAAGTTTTGGTTGAACATCTTACAGATCAGCTTACCTAGATACTATGATCTCATCTTGCTGGCTAAGTGACCATAGTTAGGATTAGTGTCATAGCATTCCCGCTCTTTTCTCTTGCATCATGTCGACATTCTTAATATTTATGCTTGCGACGGCTGACGATTCCAACCCTACAGCATATATGATAATTTCTCGAAAATCTTATTAAGGCAAACATTACTTTAAGTTAGGAACATATATCTAGAAAAAACAGATACACACGATGTTGAATTGGCTATTGTTATTATCCCAACATTAGCTTAGTGGAAATAACAAATGTCACGTAAGGTTAAGAGTCAAAAAGACTATGTCATGTGAAACAAAAAGAAAATGGCAGAAGTGCTTACTCCGATTTCCTTAGTTTCTTTTGTCCATTAAATCTAAATGCATAGAACCAAATCTCATTTGAATCATTACTTATTAAAAAACAATGAATTCAATATATAAACATACAAAATACGAAATAATTCATGTTTAGCATATATAATTCAATCAGTTGTCATTCTAAAGATTTTATCCCAAATATTATTATAGATCAAATTTGTGATCTGTAATAAAAACAACAACGTAAATAGAGAAATTAATAGGGAAAAAGTTTCTCAGCTACACGAAGTTTACACTAAATATGGTGGAAACCATCCAATGTATAAAAATGTGTCAAGAACTACACGAAGTATATGTTAATACATGCCACATGTGCGAAGTAAATGATATTATGGTGGCAACATCACAATCAGATTTAATTGTTCTTAAGCTAAGTTAATGGGGTCAATCCGTAATTTATGAAACTTAATAAGCTTAATTTATTTTAATTATTAAAGTTAATAAAATTAATAAACTTAATAAACATAATATTTTTTAAAACTTAAGAAAATTAATAAACTTAATTAATATTTTTTGTTAAACTTAATAAATTTATTAAACTTAATAAAATTATTAAACTTCATAAACTTAATAAACTTAACAAACTTAATAACTTATAAACTTAATAAGTTATTAAAATTAATATAATTAACAAACTTAATAAACTTAATGATTTATTAAGTTTAATACATCTTATTAAGTTTAATAAATCTTATTAAGTTTATA